GATACCGGTTTTAGCTTGTCAAAACCTCCCAAACATAGATGCCGATTTGTATGTTTTACGACTGGTCTCCAAAGTTGAGCTGGGTCTCCCAGCGTCGGCATGGTCTCCTGTACAATGTATATATATATATATATATATATATATATATATATATATATATATATATATACATATATGTATATGCAAAAATACACAAAAATTAAGAACAGTAACCAGTGCATTTATCGCACAATGAAGACGGCGATGACATCCGAATAGCCATCCAAAAACAAAACATGCGATGCGATGCGAAACATGGTTGTCACCGGTGATTTCACATTTGCCAAATCATAACACTACAGGAACTGCCCCTTTGAAGACGAGAGTGAGTGTCTTGTTAATACCGCCTCACAACGCTACATCGCTACCGCTTTGATATCCACTAGGAGGCCCTATGGCGACTTCACGGCATTGGTCGAGACGAGGAGAAACTCCAGGGCGGGGTTCGGTTGCACACAGCACGGGCTTTCCTGAAGTGGTTGAAGAATGATTTCACTGGAGTCCACATCACGCTTAGGCTACCGTGCTCCCACTCACCCGACCTGTCGCCCATGCGCTTTATGATAGGTGGGTAACTTCAAGGACCACATCGACGTGGACCAGCCAGCGAACCTTCAAAAGCTCCAGGCAACGTTCCCATTTAGGATGGGGCGAATCACCGCATGTAATTCTCCAAACAATCGATGACCCACAGCAGAGTCAGCATTGCGCATCCTGAAGCACAACACGCTCAGAGGACAGCCTCATCATTAAAACAAAGCTATGCCCGAGTCTAATCTTTAAACGGCACGGATCAGTTTTGAAAGGCTCTCGGAATGATAATTTCATGACGGTCGCTCTCGCGCACACGGCACCCGCCGGATGGTGTACTTACAATGACCAACGCCGTTCGGTTTTACGGAAACTGCAGACTAGGCTATCGCTGTTCTTGCACCTTATATTGCGGGCACGCAGGCTCACAACTTTTCGGTGCAATCTGTTGCACTTGGCAAGTCCGCAAAAGAATGAACGTGCCCAGGCAAACATGGATTAGCCTTGTTCATTTTTTAGCCAATTTTGTCCCACTCTTTTAAACACTTATGAGACCCCTCACTTTTTCTGGGTTAGAAGCCCGCTGGATCAGAAAACTAGGAGGCCCATTATCGTTCCCCGTCAATGGTTAAAGCGTCATTCTATCACAGCGCGGTGTGCCTACCGGTTGCCATTCTGGCGACGTGGGGGCGGGGTGCTCAGGTTGATATAGAGGCCCTTAGAAACGTACATCACACCGCATTGGTCCCCTCGCTGACGCGGGAGGTTTTTTGACCTGTAAGTTTGGCTCCGGACTGACGCAGGAGCCCTCATTGACGCAATAAGATTCCTGATCGCCGCAGGTGGACCAATAATTCCAGTTCGGCTGGAGTACGCGCGCGTTCGCAACACGCGCTCGGGTGCGGATCAATTTGCTCCGCCACCGAAGGTTTCCGCAAAATAAGTTTCAAACGGCGTGGTGTAGCCGCGCAAAATTTCATAGATATAGGCAATTGAAAAGGACAAATTTTGATCTAGGGCAATGACATTATAAGGTCGCTGATCCATGGCAGGTCAAATTCAGGCCGTGTGTAGCAGCGGAGGACATTTTTATGAAATCATTCAATCTGTTGCAACAACGTTGTGTTAGACGAAGTCAAATATCTCTGAAATAGTTGTTTGACAATCGAACGATGTAATTGAGGATTGCAACAAATTCCATCGGTCTAGGGTCAGGAGTGAAGGCCAGGATCGAAGTAAAAAAACAACCTGCTTTTTTACTGGGGATGTTCTACTTCAACCTGTAGATGATGCAATGTTCCTCGCAAATGCACTTTGTAAATGTTCTCCTGGTCGAATCGAGGCCCCTGGTTGACACAGAACACTCTGTTGGGCACTGTGGACCGTTGACCGACACAAGAGCCGCGCATTGTTGCAGGGGCCCCGACCAATGCAAATCGCAGGCTCGGCCTTGTCCCTGCCTGGGAAAGGTGCCCTCAGAGCTCAGACGGACACGGAGACGACCTTTTGGTGTCGATGATTTCTAGCCGAAAGAGAGAAACGTTGGTTCCCAATCGGTGGAAGAAGCCTTCTATCTGACGCTTGAGATAACGGTTCCACGAGCGGAAGTCTTTAATGTGACCTGCAGCCATTCCTCCTGGCCCTTCAACCGTCGAATCGGTACTTGTTCTTTGGTCCCGAGGGATTCTTGGGGCTCCTATTCTGACCCCCTCAAACACAGTCTCTGACGTTTTGAGACCCCTTATCGAAACAAGACCCCTGTTAGGCACTACGGCCCCTGACCGATACCCTCATTGTTTCAGAGAACCCGATCAATGCACATCGCGGGCACGGCCAAGCTCGTGCTTGGGAAGTGAGCGCGCAGGGCTCAGACCGACACGGAGCAGGCTGTTCGGCTTTGGTGATTTCTAGCCAAAATAGAACCCGCACTGTCCCAAGAATCCCCAATCGATGCAAGAGGCCCTCTGACTGGCACTTGAAGTCACAGCATGGCAGGCAGGGGCCGTCTTTGTTGTGACCTACGGCCAGTCCGTCGGCCCCTTCGGCCCCTTAAGCCTTCCATAGTGCCCTTCATCTTTGGTTTCGAGGGGCCCTTCGGCTCCTCGTCGAGTCTCCTCAAAGCCCGTGACAGACTCGGGGCCACCTGCCAACACATGACCCCCAGTTATACACCGTAATCGCGGGCCCAGCTTTGCTCTTGCTTGGGAAGTGGGCTCCCAGGGTTTAGACCTACGCGGAGCCAACTGTTCGGTGTTAGCGGTCTCTGGCTGACATAGATGCCCGCTTTGTCTCATGGGTCTCAGCGGTTATTTAAAGTCACCGCCCACGAGCCCAAATTCCTTATGTGACCTTCAGCCAGCCGTTCAGACACTCATGCCCCCCCCCCCCCCAATCAGGCTCTTGGTGGTCAATTGCGGTGGACTCTTCGACCTCCTCTTCTGGCCCCATTGAATACTACCCTTGATGGACTATGTAGCCCCTGCCAACACAGAACCTCCTGGTAGGCACTGTGGGCCCCTGACGGATACAGGTCCCTCGACCAGTGTAAATCGCCAGCCCCGGCTTTGTCGCTGCTTGGAAAGTGGGCCCTCAGGCCCATACCAACCCAGAGCCGACTGTGTGGTATTGGTAGAACCTGACTGACATATAGGCCCTTATCGGCTCGGGGGTCCCCGATCGGCGCAAAAGGCCGTCTGACTGTCATTCAAGGCTCCGTCCCGACAAGCCCGAGCGCCTGAAGAAGGCTCCGGCCGCCGCCTCGTGTCCTTAATCCCCCCCCCCCCCCTCCCCAATTGGGCCCTTGATCGTCGGTCTCGGTGGCTGCCTCTGGCTGACTCGGCCCTTTACCATCGCAGGGCCCCTGTTAAGTGCTGTGGGTCGCTGACAGACGCTGGGAGCCCGACCAATGTAAATCGCTGCCCCCCCCCCCCCTTGTTCTTGCTAAAGGAATGGGCTCTTAGGCCCATGCCGACGCGGAGCCGATGGTGCGGTATTAACGGTGTCTGACCGACATATAGGTCCTTATCAATTCAGGAGGCCCCCGATTGGGGCGAGGGTTCATTTTTCTGGCATTGGTGCTCCCGGCCCTGCAGGCTGGGTCCCCAGAATACGACCTCCGGCCAGCCTTTCAGAACCTTCGGGCGCTCAACTGCGCCCTTAATCGTCGGTGTCGAGGGTCTAAAGGGCCCCTCGGAGCCTAGGGTGTGGGGGGAGAGGCATATGTCCCCTGTGCCTCCTTTTCCCTGCCTTCGCCACTTCAACTCAATTAAGCATTTAGATTGGCCTTGTTATGTTGTAAGCCCTTAAACACATATTTACATCGATTGCTATGTTTTTTAGCGATATGCGAAAAGAACGTTTGTCCCTCTTATTCCGAGACGCTTACGCGTATGTGGTGGGAAGTAAAGTGAAGGGTAGAGGGAGTCGCTGTGCGTTAGCTGGGAGACTCAAGGCTGACACATCGCACCGATTTGGAATAAATCACCCTGATAATTCTTGGACATGACGCACCTCAACCCACTCTCCCCACCCAATGGTGTACAAAAAGCGAAAATAATGTAGATATGTTTCTTTATCTCCGTGTTGCATCTTGGCCACACATTGAGGGGTCCCAGAGGGGCATTTTGGTGGGGGGGGGGGGAGGGGGCATTCAGCATAGGGAAGCATTGACCTTGTTGCTGTTGGTGAAAAATCAGCAACAAGGTCAATCCAGACAGAAACGGAGCCGGGATATGGGCGACATAAAGACTTGCGTTGTTGCATGGACACTCTGCTTGACATTCGAGGGCAAGGCCCCGAAATCGGGGTCCCCTGAAAACAAGATCCGACCAGCCTTTTGGGCCTTTTGAGCACTACAGTCGGGCGCTTCGTTGGTGCCATCGCTCGAGGAGCCTTTCGGGTAATTGAAACCCAGGATGGAAAGACACGCACTCTGCGTCGCCCACTTCCTGTACTCTTGGGTGAAATCCGATAAGTTTTTTATTCAGCCGAACCACTTTCCGCCGATTCCACGACTCTGCTCCCACAATCACTTTGAAATTCGATATCTGTGCAGGGGAACATAATCACCATCTACATTTTTGGGGATGCAAATTGCAAAACTCAGGACCTTTCGGGAAGCGACGGGGCTACTTTCCGTGTTTTGATTTAAGCAAGCGATATGGAAGCAAACTGGAGACGAGCAGCTCGCCCACAAAACTACTCCACATCATGGATTTTATGCAATATGGCAGGAATTTGGTAGCTTATATTTTCAACTTGTTCCAAGCAAGCGTTTGCTGTTTATATTAGCCAAAATACGAAACAGGTCCAATCACCTTTCAGTCTTAACCAATGGGTATACGTGACCTGCACGATAACAATGGCGAAGAATAAGTGCGAACAGGGCATGAGTCGGCCTCGCCCGAGTTTGTTGAGGGCGATAAGGCGTCTCGTATGGCCATTGGGCACTGGATAAGACGAAGGGTGGGACGCCGGTTATCGGGCTGGGATTGATTGCTGGGAGCGTTTCTAACCGACATACGTGCCTACGGAAGTCGGCTAGGAGTGATCACGAGAGAACATTCAGTAGAACTGTGGTTTGGTGTGACACGCACCAAATCTTTGTCAAACGGTACATTTAGCTTCGAAATATGCCGGTGAGTCATTCAAGCATTCTACCTGCCCTCCCCATATTGCTGTCTGTTTTGACGTTAGTGTTCAGTTGGGCTTAGTTATAAGTGTGTTTTTGACAGTTTGTTTTATTGTGTTGCTATCACACAATTGTGTATGCATTTACATTGAAATATGCTTACATTTTGATTTGAATGTTATGCACCATGTCTGCTCTGACACAAATAAGGTCAACAAATGAATAGCAGCTGTTGTGCCCATGTCTGCATGACCATCCATAACTTGTGATATACAAGCCACATCACTAGACACAAATCCTAGGCTGTTGTTAACCTGTACAAAGTAGTAACTTGAAACACACAGCTTCTAGCATACAAACCCGGGAAAGATGTTGCAAAATGTTGGATGGCTGTAATGCCTGGTACTGAAGCAGCATCACATCCTTTTAAGGGATGGTAGATAAGGCGGAGGCAATGTAGATGCTTGTCGCCTGAGTTTTACAATTAAGAATAATGTGATGTTGTTTAACAGCAAATTTTTTTTTTAAATCTTGCATTTTTTTACTTCTCCTTATCTTTAACCAGGTTGTGCTGTCTCTGGTTTCAAAATGTTGCTGAATCTTGCTATAGGTTGTAACCTGACATGGCTTTGGTGTTACATTGTTAGTGTATTCAACAAGTACTGTGTAATACATTAGATGTTGTACTGAGGTGAACTCATACTGCTAGTCTAAAACCACTGGCTCAGGGACTATTGTAATCCTTGAGTCCTTGGAAGTTGCAGGAGTGGGCAATGATGGTTTTTTGTTATGCCATTTTATTTAATCTGTCAGCTCACCTCTGTCATTGTGACATTGCAGCTCCAACCAGTTGAGCTCTGACCCTATAAAACTGCCCATTCAAAAGTTCATGTGTCCAAACATTGCTGAATTTGGGGATTGCCCTTGATAGGTATGGCCTGCTGCTGGTGGTAGGAGGGGCTTGGCTAAAGGTCAGGTGGTATCAGAGGGCAGGATGGATCACACCAAGCACAATGTCACACTTTAGGGGCACAAGGCTTAGCTTCGAAATTCTGCAGTTGATTCAGGGTTGTGCGAGCTCTCAGCCATTTGCGTAAAATGATTAAAATGTTTTGATTGATAGCACACAGCCACATATAAGTGAATGAGATCCTTTAATTCAGTACCCCTGATCAAGTCCCTCTAGCTGTATTATTGAATCATTCAGGGATCATTGGGCATATTATGTGTGTTTAAATGCTTGTTGGAACATCTATGTTTAGGATATGGTTGATCACAAGGAAGCAGTTGGTTCAAATGCCTATCATTTATAATAAATATGTCAGCCTTTCCAATGCAGCACTTGTGTGCAAATTTCCTACACCTAAAACATTGCAAAGGACTTGCAAAGCTGTCACATTTCAACCATAATTGTATTATGCATATTATTGCGTTCTCTTCTCAGCATGGCTCTAACCCAAATTGTTAGAAACGTGTTGCATACCTCAGTATCATATCAGTGGTGCTTATGGGACTATATGACAATCAATTTTGACATCAAAATGTGTAGCTTGTCCATGCATGAATTTGTGGGCATTGAGCTACCCATATTAATGAACACCAGGTATTTGACACTGCCTTTGCATTCAGTTGTGCACCCTCAGAGAGGATGAAGCCGTCACTCATGTTGTGTTCAGTCATGCATTATGTAGCATCCCACCTATGTGACAAGCATCCTGTAAGACTTCAGCACTGGCTCCTTTAGCATTCATATTTACAAAGAACTCAAAACTCCTGAACACGCAGATTCAAACCTACAGCATTTTCACCGCGCTCTGTCCATCTCCCCCGCGACTATGGAATGAGCATCCTTTGGAGTTTGGGCCCCTAGCAAGATGCATAAACTCTGGGAAAGCTCCAGGACCTGCCAGTGTTTTTCTCTCTTATGCTAATGGGAGAAATTTGCTAGTCGGGTATTCATGAAGCATTTTGTTTTTGAAAGACATGCAGGGCTGCTGTCATCTTGTAGCTAATGGATCTCAAATACCCCAAATTACACTGAAATGTCGGCGATGCTATGTGGGCTCTGAGAGTGCGGTCGTCCTCTTCCGCAGGCGTACCACTCGCAGTACACGAGCCCGCCGGTGCTGCTGGCCAACATGGCTGTGCTGCCGCTGCGCACGCAGTACCGCGGCCCGGCGCCGCGCGAGACCGGCGACGCCGACATCATCGACGAGGCCATCGGCTACTTCAAGGCCAACGTGTTCTTCAGGACGTACGAGATCAAGGTGGGCTGAGACCCGCCACATTGGTCCACTGCACAGCGGCGCTGTGGCTGTGCACAATGGCCAGAGTGAGCATCTGACTGCTGTGGCTGTCAGACAGTCACTCAGTCAGCAGTCACTCAGTCTGACTGCTGTGGCTGTGCACAACAGTCAGAGTGCTGTGTGTCGTCTGCAGCGTGAGGTGATCCAGCATCTGACGTAACCCACCCTGCCCGCATCACCACGCCCGCTTCTGTCCCGCCAGGGCGAGGCGGACCGCACGCTGATCTACATCACGCTGTACATCACCGAGTGCCTGAAGCGGCTGCAGAAGTGCGCCAACAAGAACGCCGCCCAGCAGGAGATGTACACGCTGGCCATCTCGCGGTTCGACATTCCCGGAGACGCGGGCTTCCCGCTGAACGCCGTGTACGGCAAGCCCAAGGACGACGCCGAGGCCGGTCAGTGAGAGGTCACCGCCGTGCCAGCCGAATGCGACGGCTGACCTCTATACCGACGCAGACCTCCCCCCAGCCTGAATGCCGGTGGCAATTTCTCGCCCGACCTACGCTTTGCTGTGGGTTTGGCGGGTGCAGAGACAGAAGTAATCTTACATTGTGCGTTGAAGTCGTGATTTCACGTACTCCACGTCCTTGTGATAGTCCAGATGCGCATATTTTACTATTGACCTGCATGAAAAACACTGGGAAGTGGTGATTTATGCTGTCTTTCACCGTGAAGTGTTTTCGGTACAAAAAAGCACGCAGTTGCTGAAAGTGGCGGAATTGCTATTTGGATGCTCGTAGCCTCGATTGATTATGTGTTGACGCTTGGACAGAGCAGATGAGCTGGCGCCACAGCACTATCATGAATGGGACTGTGGTGTTACAGACCAGATGCGCCAGTACTTGACTCAGCTGCGCCAGGAGACCGGCCTCCGCATCTGCGAGAAGGTGTTCAGCACCGACGACGGCAAGCCCTCCAAGTGGTGGCTCTGCTTCTCCCGAAAGAAGTTTATGGACAAGTCACTGGCGGTGCGCGGACAGTGAAGTGTTCCACGTCAGCACTGCGTTATTGCCAGAGGACGCCCTCCACTGCCCGGACGGCGCTCTGCCAGCGTTGAGGCGCCCTCTGCCGCCGGCACGTGTCGGCGCTCTTGTTTTATGGCGACGTCCCTGTTATAGCGCGCCGTGTCCAGAGTGTGATGAAAGTATCGGTACTGCGACCATCGGTTATTTTATGACTATTAAGGCTTGTTGGGATGCGTGTGGGCGAGGTGCGCGCTCGGACATCACGAATGCGTGGACCGTGGAGAGCTTTTGCGGGGTGGTGCGGTCTGTATTACCAGGAGCGTGTAAACTGGCGCAGGGAACAGTATCTGGTCACTCTCTTCGCGCACTTAAAGAGAGTGATCATGACTGTTTCACATGGCCTTCATTTATACCGTGATGTCTCATTAATAAAATAAACATTGAGGCTCTGAACATTGATAGTGTTTAAGACGTATTTTTAAAATGAGATAGAGCATAAGCATGAGCATGATTTCATATATAAGCACTGTCAAGGGATGGTTGTATGCGCTATGTTTGAAATTGAAGTGATTTAAGATGCAGGCTAGTGGAACAGTGATATTGTCTTACAGGCAAGGGCGTCGCTCCTTGTCTTTTGGTGTGCCAAAAACCAACGCCCAACACATGATCGGTGGTACTACAATTGGCCTATGTAACAGCAACTTCTCAAAATATAAACAAGATCCTGGTTTCCTGCAGAGAGCGAAACAGATATGCGTAATATTAGCAGAACCTTCGCATGCATGTTGGCGCGGCACTGCGGTGTCTGCTGCTTCTGACGCGCGACAGAGCCGGTAACTAGCGCCATCTATTGCGCTACAACTGCTATGAACTTGGGAGCATTTGTAGTGCCCTTGAAATTTGGTACATAATGGAGATTAAGACAATGGCCATCCGAAATGAGGAGTTAAATGCCCCAACACCATTCTATTTTGATTATTCGCCAATTCGCTTCAAGGGGAAGGGCATGGTTCCATGCCCTCCCCCTCTGAACCCGCCACTGACCAAGGGGGGGGGGGGGCGACAGAGCGCGCCACACCGTCTCCATCAGCCACTCTCCTCCGCCGCTCATCAGTTTTCTGTGATTCGTCGCTCGGCTGCATGTGGGGGTCCTCTTACTGACACTTTTTTGGTGCGGATCTGATTATACACCATTTTGTATCTATGACCGCAAATCCGCATTTTATGTTCCGCGAAATGTTATTTTTACATGTTATACAGCTGGTGCCTCCTTCACACGAGACATGGGTGTGCTGGCCCGTGGTGCTTTTACCCTCTTTCCCACCCACATTCTTTAAGCGCGTGCTTCCTTCGAGTCTGGTACGCACCAGTGGCTCCCTCTCGCGAGAGAGGATGATCACGGATGTTACTGAATGAATTCGGGCGTTACAGAACGAGACCAGACGGAGCAGACTGGAACGTGACGAGGCTGGACGGCACCGGAAGGAACATGATAAGACTAGATGGGCCTAGATGGTTCTGTACGGTTCTGGATGAAGACGACATCTGGTAGATCAGGTGGAACCGGACGAGACCTAGAGCCGGACACAGCCCGACGGGGCGACGCAGGACTTAACACGATGGGACGGGATCGGACGGCAAGGGACGTGACCACGGGGAACGGACTGGGTGCGACTAGAATGGGGGCAGGCCGGGGCCAGACCAGGCCCGTGTGGTCCCGTCCGGTAAGTGCGGTTTTATCTGGCCTCATTTGGTTCTTTCCTGTTCCGTTCCAGCACCGTTTGGTCCCATCCGGTTCCGTCCGCCTTGGTTTGGTACCATTCGGTTCCTTCCAATCCTGTCCATCACTTTCTAGTGACGCCCAGTCATATCCAGTTCCTTCAGGTTCCGTCCCACCGCGCCAGGTCCCGTTTAAGGCCGACCAGTCTCTTGCCGCCTTGTCCGGTTAGGACTTTTTCTTCCGATCTTGTTCCGTCCGATCTGGGCTCATCGCATTCCATCCAGCGCCGTCCGGTTCAGTCTGCCTCCGTTTTGTCCCGTCTGTTTTCTGTCGGTCACATCCGGTGTCATCCGACCTCGTCTGGTTTCATTACGCTCAATACGGTTCCATCCGATCCTGTTCGATAATGTACGCTCTGCCAAGTTTCGTGTGATCCCGTCTGGCTCCGTGCCCTACGGTACTCTGTGAAACTTTCCCTGGATAGCGATTATTTCTTGGCTTTGTGACGTCAATGGACAATCAGCTAGAAGTGCTTCCAGCCCCCCTCCCCCCTCCCCCCCCATGAGATTCAGAGTCAGCTGATTGTCGCACCTCATTTTCATGCGCCTGTTGACGCGCGCTGGTTAGGTGGGGTGTGAGCAAGGCTGTCTAGCGTGTGAGAGAGGGGACGCTGCTGATTGTCATTTCATGGCACATAGAGTTAACCAAAGGTGCTGGGGGCATCCATAAATATCTTTTACATTTATTGATAGTCACATTGGACGATTTTCGTGCTAGATTTGATTGATTCAGGTGGTTAAAAATGTCCTGGACCTTCGAAGATACCGCTGACAATTGACAGGTGTGAAGAAAAACATTCACTGTCATGATGTACCTCATAAATTGAAAGAAGGGATCTAGCGGTATTATGTAATGTCTGATGCATCTACTGACACCAGTATATTATGATATGCTCACCAGCTTCCATTGGTGTGGCTATTTTAGGAAATGGGAGGTCTGCCATTGGCTGGGTTATGTTGTGCATCATTAAATACACTACACATGGTGTGTTATCTGGTATATATATATATATATATATTTAAGTTTGACCTAACTCAACATTCAGAAGTTCAGCATGCAGAAGTGCAATTGGGCATTTATTATTTCAGGGAAGAGCGAAGTTCAGAGGAGGGATACCCTAGAGTCAGGGTAGGGTTATATCCTTGGCCTTGGCAGTCAAGCACCCCAAACTGCTAGTTATGTGATACATCAGGTAAAGCATATTGCTGCCATAAGCTTATGTTGGTAGGAGCCTCAATCCTGGATGTCCCAAATATACCATATGATATTTGTGGGTAGAGGTGGCAAATGAGCATGCACCAACCCCAAGCAAGCCCAAGTATTCCAAATCCTATGGGGGGAAGCTGAATAAAGGGACAGATGTCCCATTTATGCAGATCGTGGGAAGTCCAGGCATATTGAGCAGCAAACCTCAAAATCTGAGGAAATTGAGGCCTGAAAGATGTCAGTAGAGTGCCTGGTATACCAAGAGCTGGTAGAGATGTTGCTTATATTGCATAAGTTAATGCATACCTGTCAACCACCACACATCTGGGAAACCAGAGGTACAGTGCTTAATTTCTTGTGCCCACCCTTCCTGGCAGGATAAGAGCCAGGTGACTCCACATAGCCTCAGCAGCTGAGCATGTTGTAAAGTCCCAATCATGACAGGTGGAGGTGGGGCCAAAATCCATGATATGGTGGGACTCAAAAAGGGTTTAGGTAGGTATGTGTTCCAAGCCCATGTAGACAACATCCTCTGACCTGAAACCTATGTACAGCTATGGTCCATGCCTACATAGAGGGACTCCCCAAAGTCACCTTGGATAGGTGTTCGAAAGGTCTAGGCATCACATCGGTGTGATCTTGAGCGTGTGGTGCACTCAACACAGAATAAATTGATACAACATGTCTGGGTAGGCCTACCTTGTCCTACATAGGCAGATGGGCAGCCCAGGCAGACCTAGGCTTAACCTGGCAGCAAGTAATAAAGCCCTCTAAGACTGAGTATGGCCCAAGCAGGCCCAAGGCCCAAGTAGACAATCTGTCATAGTTCATGTCATAGTTCAGAAGCTGAAATGCTACTTCTGCAGCATGAGGGTCATGCTGTTATGGGGGTTTCTGATGTCTTTAAGGCAGGGTGTGAAAAGTATCCCAGGCAGGAAGAACTGTCAAGCGCAGCTGCAACATTTACCACTTACTGACCATGTTTTAACCTGTAATGTTCCTTGTGGTACTAGTGGTTGATTGCTTGCTGTTGATCTGTGAGCTGATCTATGACTGCATTCACAGTCATGTTTGTCACTACTGGAGATGACAGATAGGCCTGGCTGCACTTTTTGAATTGGTATTTTGTTTTTCTCCTAAATTTACAAAGCAACCTGGCATCCTCAAAAAATTTTGTCCATGGATTCCTAGCAAGAGACTAAATAACAAGTACATGTGGTTTTCAGAATGAGGTGGATGTTTGTCCAGACCTTGCGCCAGACTGCGCGGCTCCGGACTGCTAACATTCTCCCTCGTTTACCTGCTCCTCGCTTGATACATACCACGCCCACAATGGCAGAAGAATATATAGAGAAACTGAAAAATGAAAATCCTTATTTCTCTAAATATGCCGAGAAGATTGCCAAGCTCCAACAGTGAGTATTATATGTAAATATTCAGATACACTAAGACACTTGGATTGCTTATTTCCTCTTTTGGCAATTTCAGACATATGTGAACGATGTTACCTGTGCGGTTGTAAAGCCATATAATTATGGCAGTGCCCGCTGCATTTGCCATGTTTCTGTTCATGTACGTTTCTCTCGAGTCACCTCCCGTTTTGCCGCCACCAGTACGTTTAGAGGTGAAGATGAATGTTCTGTGCCGCCCATCTTCAAGTCTGCTGTCACTGAATGGGCTGCCGCACGTGGCTGCCGTCACCCGGTGCCGTTCTCCTCTGCAGAACATCCGCCGAGGAGCTGGAGCGGAGAGTGCAGGAGAAGAGCGAGCGCGACCGCGCCACCCAAGACTCGGCCGCCGCCCGCTCCTTCTCCGTGAAGGCGCCGAAGCCGGCCGCCGCGGAGGTGGTCCAGGCCAAGCCTAAGGCGAGTCTGCGCTCCCCGGCCCGGCCTGGCCGGGCTCCGTGGACAGTGAACCCGGCCCGGCTCTGTGACCAATGATCACGGCCCGTCTCTGTGACTGGTGACTCCTGGACCCAGCTCCCTGGTGTGTAGCTTTGTGCGACATGTGCGTACTTTGTAGTCGTCATGATCGTGACGTTTTGATATTGTTCAGTGATCCAACATTGAGCTAAACCCATAGCTTACTTTGTTAAGTGTCGTTAGTTTGCCGCAACGTAGGTGAATGCCAGGCGAGCTCAAATACCGTGTTTTCAGGATGCTGCTCGGCCTCCGATCACGATCTTTGGCTTGTGTCTGTCTCATTAGGGCATAATTGCGGAGCGTGGACTGTGGGTATTATAAACGTTGGACATTTTAATCGTGTGACATTACCGCTACCAATTTTGAACATGACGAACGTCCCCAGACATGTCACCATGCCCGATTAATGTGTAATGCGTTTGCTGACGCTTTGTGATTGAATCCTCAGGAGAAACTAGGGCCACTTTTGCGAAGCAGCCAAAGTGTCTTGTACTCCTCCCCCTCCCCTTCCTTCCAGCCGCCAACAGCGGCACCGCCCGCGTATGGGCTGTTGGACTGACAGTGTGTGCCGCATGTGACGGCAGATGCTGAACGATGTTCTCAAGTTGGAGCTGATCCAGGACAAGTCCAGCGAGGAGATCGGAAAGGTGAGTGAATGGGTCTGAGCTGAGCCTGAGCAGGGGAGCCCGGCCGCGTCCAAACATTTCGTACGATCTGTTGTGTGGAGTGGCCATCGTTTCGAAGTTCATCGTCTAAGGTGTCAAGGACGTAAACGTACACCCGCAGTGCCACCCCTCCGGCTCTTCGGCAGCGTCCGCGCCCACGTGTCGATGGCCTCCAATCCGCTGACGTTCGAGCTCGAACCCTGACATTCGGGCCTGCCCGGCCGACGGGGCGACACCGAGGCGCCTCGATACTAAGCGGACAGGCGTCTGGCGAGATGCTGTTTGGCTGGTCCTTGAGCGAGAGGAGGAGCAGTGGGCAGTAAATTACGAGCGCAGGTGCGGGGGCATGAACAAATATCAACCTCTCCCTCAGCCACGTTGCCGAGTATTGCCTCGCGGGTGGCCGGGGTGGTACCGTTTTGTGTGCCCTTGGTGAAGTACTGATAATAATTGGTTGTGTTAATCACTGCAAGAAAGTCGAATATGTCCGTCCTTGCGACATACTGGGTATGCCAGTAATATTCCACTTATTCTGTGTTCGTTCTACGCTCTGTGTTGGATGTGTTTTGATGTACGTCCGCCTCATAAGTGCGGTTTACATGTCAGCTGTGGACAGAGTATTTCAAGACGAAAGACAGCGTGTCGGCGGTGATACCGGCGAAAGATTATCAAGATATCGCCCAAAATGCTGCGAAATACCCGACGGTAAGTTTCTGGCGTACTTCATGTGCGCTCACTCCGCGTGTAACTTGCCAAGTAGTGTTTTGAGACGACCGCAAGATCGATTAAGACGAGTGTGCGATGGGCTGCTTAGTTTATTAAAGTTGGCTCCCGGGTCAAAAAATCGCACGGAACCAAAGGTCGTGTGTCATCTTTTCACCCGGTGTCATTCTCGACTACCTTGTCACCTCGAGTTCTTAGCTAACGTCGTGATCACGAACGGTATGATACCAGCAATATTATTAGCATCATTAGCGTGCTAACACGCTAGCCGACAGCGGGTCGCTGGAAAGGAGGGCGTGTTGTAGCGCGCAGCGTCGGATCACGTAACCGAGCTGCGCTAGGTGCGACTGGACCGGTCTGCTTGTGCGGCAGTTTTTGTTCCCGTTGCCACGCGACCAGGGCTACGAGTTTGTGGTAGCGCAGTTCGCCGGGAACGAGGCGCACTTCACGCCACTCATCAATTACCAGGTGAGCCGCGGGCTGGCCGTGCCGCCGCTGCACCTGTCGCCGGCTCTGTGTTCTGTGCTCTGGTCTGTGGTCAGTGGCCTGTGCTCGGTGCGTCGCGGCTGCATCATGTCAATCGATGACCTCCAAAACCGTACTTGCCATCATCATTCTCGTGACTTAGGTGATCGGCACTTCGAAGCGTTTCTATCCGCTCACGTGCTGCCATTATGTTGCGATCTAGTCTCCAGCGACAAAGGCAAAAAGTCACCTGCCCTTCTGCTGCCGCGGCTAGGGAGGTGTTCCGCAGTCGCATTCTGTTATTTTGCGGTGGGTCTGGGTAAAGCAGACATATTCACCGAATGTACCGCCTCCGACGCAAGTTCGTCTGTTGGGGCTCCACGGTGCTCTCCTTGATAGTGAATATGCGCTCACCATGCATTTACTGGGGGGGGGGGGGGGGGGGCGGATGTTCGTCCGTCACGTGCCAGCTCTGAAGTCTCACGCTAGGCATCGCGTGAGACTTCAGAGCTGAGACGTGGCGGACTGCGCCCAAATACTGGGCCGTCGATGCGGACGTGGGCTGCGGCGCGCGCGGCCCTGCCGCCCAGCTGACGCGTATGCCTCGTGTGCCAGGCCTACAAGGAAAACGCACCAGAGTGCATGGCGATGGTGCACTACCCGGAGCTGGCCGAGAGCAAGGGTGTGGTGCTGATGGCGGCAGAGTACGACAGCACCGTGCTGGTAAGTGGTGCCCGTCCGCACAGAGGGGGCATCGGACGATGGCAGGGACGCTGGTGCATGCCGCCGGCGTGCGGGCGACACATGGACGTGACTTGATCCCTTGCGGGGGGGGGGGGAGACGGACCGTCATTTGCTAGTCCAACAGGATGTTGTTGTCATGTCGACGGGTCGCATGTCGACAAGCGGTGCGGCGCCTGCTTCTCCGTCGGCTGATGTGTAACTGCCGGTTTGTGTCAGCGTTCCGTGAGCGCTTTTTGGTCTTACCGGGCTGTCGTGAGCGGCTGCTTCTTCCTGGCCATGAAGCGCTGCCCCATTGCGTCAGATGTGGAAAGTGAGTCATACAGCGGATCATGCGATCGATCCGACTCCTCAGAATTTTCTCAGAACACCCTGTAAGGTGCTGTGTTGGGAGTCGAGGTCCGACAGGCCCCTGCACGTCTGTGCGAAAATTCATTGTGGGCTGACGCTCCATTTTTGTGTGACTCACTGAATGTCTGCTGTGCGCCGCTGGCGATGCGTGCCCCAACACCTGGCCCACCCCGTCAGAACGCCAGCGAGGCGCAGTGCCTGGCGAACGAGATGCAGCTGTATTACTGCCGGCCGAGCGAGAGGCGCCGCCAGCTGCTGGACCAGTTCACCACGCAGCCGGAAGCCTTCCGCTACCAGGAGCTCATATCCGTGCTGGAGAGCATTCAGCTGTCTTAGCCTCATCCCGCCGTCAGCTGGCAGCGGCTGTACAGTACGTGCGCCCGTCGTTTTCGTCCCGCCGTGTGCAACGCACTGGAGCGGAGCTCATGCAGCTGTCCCAGCCTGACCTTCGTTGTCGGCTGCTGCTGCCGTGCTGATGGCAGGCGGCTGCAAGAGGGGAGTGCAGGGTGTGCGTGCGGTGGCGCCGCTCGTCCGTGGGTCAGCGCGGCGCCGCGGGACACCCAGCCCTTGAGACGGACTCTGCCGCATGGGGAGAGCCGGGCCGGGCGGCGCGACGCGTCCTCACTGCACCGGAGACCACCTCTGGCGGCGGCGCGGACCGCCGTCGGACCCGCCTTGGGACCGGCGGCCGGCCTGCCCGGTGGCTCGTGGCCCCGGCTCCAGACGCCCGCGGTCGGCGGCAGGGCGTGCGTCGGGCTGTGTGTCGTAGCCGGCGGGCCCGCAGCGCCGTCGCGCGTCGGGGCGTTAGCGCAGACCAGGCGCGGCGGCAAGGTGGGGTGGCCGACACGCGCGTGATGTCCAAGGACAGCTGCCAATTGGACGAGTGTGCATGTGAGGCGGCATTCGTACGGAAGGTGAACGCGTCATGTTGCAATATGGCTTGTGAGCAAATGACTTGTTTTGACGCAATATAGCAAATGAAACGGACTGCAGTCCGTTTAAGGAAGAGGTTCCGACGGTCTTAGCCGATGGAAAGGGAGAGTTCCACATTTGTGTGGGGTTTTGAACTGAAATAGCTATCTTGAACGTCGTTCGATGCAGTTTACAGCCCTGCCGTTCTGAAGACCCAAAGCCCTTTAGTTTCTGAACTACGCGCCCGCGAAGATGTGGGGACTGTTGGGGAGACTTTCAAGGTAGCCCAGGTATCCGTGGCGCCATAATAACGTCATCAGCATTCTTCCATTCCACCAGCCATGTGGCGACCAAGGCTAAGAAAAATGCGGCCGTCGAGTCGTTCATATCTGACGTGAGCGCGATTTCCAGATATAGCGGCCGTCAATTGGTTCGCAATCAGTGTTTTGCAAGGTACGACGATGTAATCAATGCCGCATTGAGGAACGTGCTTACTAAACAGGGATTGCGTTGTTTAGACCTGCCTTTTTCACTTAAATGTATACCAATAGTTATGAGTGAGGTTATTTCGCCATATTTGAGGCTTTCTTCAGTATCATCAAAGTATCGTACATCCCTTCACAGGGAATGTGTGATAATAATTTCAACAAGAGATTCCCTACCAAATGCGGTGCGATTTATTTCGATAAAGCCGCTATGACGCCGAAAACACCGACGTCATCTTTTTGTGTTTCCGAATGGGACACGAATTCCCTCCCGAAATAACAGACCGTTGAAACCAAACGTTTACGCGACAATTATGACGAACCAACTTTGTTCACAAAGCAAGTGATCACCGGTTGCCAGAGATTCGGCACTCAGTAGCTCGTCTTTCAGGCGGAAGACTATTTACATGAAAATGCGATGCATTGTGAGCCACGTACGAACAAACGCAATGCGATCAACCGCGAATCTGAAGAAATTCGATACCTAGGACGGGTTTGGGACCGCGTTATCTTACAGTCAGCGCCTTCTTGTTGACGCCGCCGACGGCCATCTTGACCCAAACGTGATTTGGCTGCGGCGCAGTTCTCCCTGATGGTGGTTGGGCCTGAGGGCGCAATTCTCCCTGATATCCCGTATTTCTCCCTTGGGGAATCAACCCGCGGGCTGGAAAAGCCTGGTCTTAAGGATGGAGCAGATGAATGAGTTGGCTCCTTAGAGGGACGCGACATTATCGCGACAGCAGAACTATTGACAGGGGCGCTAGTGCTACATTAGTTCAACGCCATCTTAGCTACAGTACAATATGTTTGCGTGCCTTAGTTGTGCGTGCTAATACTCTCATTAAAAACTAAACTCGAGATGAATGAGTTCTGCATGGCAAAACTGATTCTTCGAAAACATTCCCAATTACTTACATTGCAAAAACTCATACAGGTTTTACTTCTGCGCGATTTCACTTCTATGACCGGGACTTCCACCTGACAAAACTTTAACTGCAAAAGCATATACCTGACAGCACTTGCACAGCAAAGATGTATGCAGCCTGTCCTTAAACATAGCATTACCTCTACTGCAAAAATTTAAAGGTGACCTTAGGGCTTTACGACAAAAAATATCCTCAAAATGTGTTACATCCAGCGCGCCTGTTGCGAAACCTGTATAAGCGATTTTACTTCCAGTAGCAATACTTTACGTGACGTTTGTACTGAACGACACAGGGCAGCCAGCATGGAGTAGTCGGACAAGAGTTGCCCAATTCATGGTGTCGATGCATTAGTGCTGTTGCAAATATTGTTATTGAAGACCCACGACGGCAATAGTTCTGCGCCACATTTCCTCTACTAAAAAGAGCATCTAGTGCAGTGTCGTAGTATTGCAAAACAATTTCGAGGCTAATCTGGGAAAAGCGCCAGGCCTGCGCCAAAATACGTGCAGCACGGAGCTTGCCCCAAATGTGACATGCTTGTAGCACAAGTGACGGGTGAATAGGGCCCCTAGCTGAATGTGAAACTACGCCCCCCCCCCCCCCTCCCCACGCCCTCTATCTGCTGATCACTAAAATGCAACATAAGTTGTGTTGCAGTGACTTATTTAAGGTTTCGGTGCTACACGGAACAAGTCAACAGGTACGTCAAAAAGCTATAGCCGTCAGCTGTCACTGAGACTCTGTCAGCAAAATGGCAGCCTGTACTCATACGCCAAGCACGAAAAATCGACGAAGTAACGCAACATCATGAATCAGTGATGTTTCGTATCGGCACCGCAATCTTGATTTCAGTATTCCCCACTTGGATATCCCCTTACCCTGCAAATTGTTCTCACACCTCTGCTGGGTGTCCACGCATTTTGCACTCCACGACTATGCATTAGCAGTAAAAGTGACGCAGTGTGTACATAATGACGAGGTTTTTGCAGCAGAAAAATTGACGGGGATAAGCTTTCAAACTAAAAGTTTGTCATATATCACTAATGTTGCGCATAAGCCTTTGCAGTGGAAGAAATGCTTCGCATAACAAATAACAAGCTTTTACAGAAAAAAAATCACGGGCTTAAGTTCTGAAGGAAAGTTTTGTCGTATAGCGCCAATTTCGCGCATACGTCTTCCCATTAGATATCGCGTATAAGTAATGACTGTATCATGTTTTGCAGTGTTGGTAATCACGGTCGTAATTTTTTGAAGCATGGGTTTTGTCGCGGCAGGAGAAGAAATTTCGTAGCACTCTGTTCAGCAGGAGTTCTTGCTGTGGCACTAACGTTGTGGAACCGGTGTCATTTGGTGGAGGATGAGCAGCACAACGAAAAGATATCTCATCTGAAGGGAAAAGGGTGTGCCCGAGGAGCAGCAGAACTAAACTGATAGTCGAGACATCGCCCTGACACTCGTGCGGCTCTGATGGAGGCCACTATGGAGCGGCTCGCTTGTTGGAACATTCGTTAAATCGGCCCCCATCTTGGAGCAGTACAGAGACACGGCCTCACTCTGATATTGTAACGGCTCTGCACAGTGTGGAAGGGATCGTGTGGGAGATCGCCGGGAAAAGTGAGCTGAAACCAGCCTTGAAAGGACTTAGCCATGCCTGTGCCAACAACTCCGAAAGAAATATAATATCCATATGAATACACATATATACATATATATATATATATATATATATATGTATATATGCGTGTGTGTGTGTGTGTGTGTGTGTGTGGTGTGTGTGTGTTGTTGTGTGTGTGTGTGTGTGTGTGTGTGTGTTGTGTGTGTGTGTGTGTGTGTGTGTGTGTGTGTGTGTGTGTGTGTGTGTTGTGTGTGTGTGTGTGTGTGTTTGTGTGTGTGTGTGTGTGTGTGTGTGGTGTGTGTGTGTGTTGTGTGTGTGTGTGTGTGTGTGTGTGTGTGTGTGTGTGTGGTGTGTTGTGTGTGTGTGTGTGTGTGTGTGTGTGTGGTGTGTGTGTGTGTGTGTGTGTGTGTGTGTGTGTGTGTGTGTGTGTGTGTGTGTGTGTGTGTGTGTGTGTTGTGTGTGTGTGTGTGTGTGTGTGTGTGTGTGTGTGTGTGTGTGTGTGTGTGTGGTGTGTGTGTGTGTGTGTGTGTGTGTGTGTGTGTGGTGTGTGTGTGTGTGTGTGTGTGTGTGTGTGTGTGTGTGTGTGTGTGTGTGTGTGTGTGTGTGTGTGTGTGTGTGTGTGTGTGTGTGTGTGTGTGTGGTGTGTGTGTGTGTGTGTGTGTGTGTGTGTGTGTGTGTGTGTGTGTGTGTGTGTGTGTGTGTGTGTGTGTGTGTGTGTGTTGTGTGTGTGTGTGTGTGTGTGTGTGTGTGTGTGTGTGTGTGTGTGTGTGTGTGTGGTGTGTGTGGTGTGTGTGTGTGTGTGTGTGTGTGTGTGTGTGTGTGTGTGTGTGTGTGTGTGTGTGTGTGGTGTGTGTGTGTGTGTGTGTGTGGTGTGTGTGTGGTGTGTGTGTGTGTGTGTGTGTGTGTGTGTGTGTGTGGTGTGTGTGTGTGTGTGTGTGTGTGTGTGTGGTGTGTGTGTGTGTGTGTGTGTGTGTGTGTGTGTGTGTGTGTGTGTGTGTGTGTGTGTGTGTGTGGTGTGTGTGTGTGTGTGTGTGTGTGTGTGGTGTGTGTGTGTGTGTGTGTGTGTGTGTGTGTGTGTGTGTGTGTGTGTGTGTGTGTGTGTGTGTGTGTGTGTGTGTGTGTGTGTGTGTGTGGTGTGTGTGGTGTGTGTGTGTGTGTGTGTGTGTGTGTGTGTGTGTGTGTGTGTGTGTGTGTGTGTGTGTGTGTGTGTGTGTGTGTGTGTGTGTGTGTGTGTGTGTGTGTGTGTGTGTGTGTGTGTGTGTGTGTGTGTGCAAGCTACTTGCACGGCGAAATGAACGCCGCCCTGCGCGGCTGCTGCCAGCGCGGCTAACGCCGCCGTACGCACAGCGGGTGGTGGCAGGCCGCCTTCCGACCGTGTACCTGGATCCCTCGAGCAAATCCCACCAGGGTTGGACGCCGTGGTATCCGATGTGGCAAGGGCACCGCTGCGCTGACGCCGAACGCCTGCGGGCCTGCCGTCCTTTGACCCATGAGGCGCGATTTGACTAAGAGAATACAACATTCTTCAAACCTAGCGCATGTTAAATGTCACTCTTGTCATCGCTGCTAATAAGTGCTGCAACTTCAGGGCTGTAATGTACACGCACACACACACACACACACACACACACACACACACACACACACACACACACACATATATATATATATATATATATATATATATATATATATATATATATATATATATATATACTAATGAGGGTAATATAGG